ACCGTATTTTTACATAAACATTACATAATGAGATCTAAGATTTTCGCGAGTACTCATTTAAATGAAACTAATATTTTTCGCGTTTTATTTTTGTATATAACCGTGATCACGGGCCACGGGTTACTGAAAAGTAGCCGAAACGTCGGGAGTATGTAGTTTTTTAATCAAAATTAAAACGCGAAGTAAAATTCGAAAAATATTAGTTTCATTTAAACATTACATTTTATTATTTCAATCTGTAAAGTTTAAAATTATGATGTGTACATAGAATGTGCTACTAATACTATATATATCCACGACTAATCTAGAATTTTAAAGTCAATGTTTTATTTCAATATATTCCTTGTACTTAAAAGGATTTGATTAATATTATTAGATGACACATCCATATTTAATATTGTTTATATTTCATTATACAAAATTTGTGTCAATGCAAGTTTCATATTTCAAATAATACAAAGTATTTATTCAGATTTATTTAAAAGTTTGTTTACGAAAAGTTATTCTTAATAACTTTATTGCAGTGAGAAAGTGTACTTTTAAAATATTTTAATTTGGAATTGAACAAAAACGGAATTTTCTTGGTTTTTACTAGACGCATTTTACTAATTATGGTAATTACCATCAACTATACAGAACTCTTAATTTTATTAAAAAACTGTTTTAGAATTCTTTAAGTATAAGTATAACTATTTTATATTAAATAAAATATTTATTAATTATACTATTTAAGTAATTGTTGAATGAAATAGTCATAGGTATACCATAAAGATAGTGTTTGATCTTGATAAATAAGAAAAGGATTATGACAATGAAAAAAAATTCAAGTAACAATAAAAAAGTTATAAAAACAAAAATTAATTGCTAAAAGATTAAGATATTCATAGACAAATAAAAATGTAGTTAAGTCGGTTTTATAAGAGACACTTTAGATATAGATAGCGTAGGGATCGCACGATTTAACTCATCCAATTTTTTTACTCTATCTAGAGAACAAACTCATTATGGCTCTCCATATTTTCCTTATAGAGTTTCCCTGCATCTAGTTGAATTCATATTTTTCCAGCTTCTCTGTGGCATAGCAAAGGATTAGATATTTGCTGCCAATATACGTTTCCTTCGACTTAGAATTTGGGTGTTTTCAGTGCAAGAATGAACAGGACATTACTGAGGCGTTCACCACCTTTCGCTTCATTTCCAAATACCATATAGAAAGATCATTAATTAATTATGCGATTGGAACAATTGTAATTATCAAGGAAGTAAAATTAATCAACGTAAAAGATATCTCATAATGTGAAGATAACAACCATGATATAAAAATATAGACAGGAGAGTGTGAAGTGTGTGTAGTTTAAGTATTTACTTAAACTACACACACTTTGGGTATGGCAAAGAATAGGATGTTTGTGATAGAAGCTCAAATTACAAATCAATTAAAGTATTCAAAAAATTTTCACGTAAATATTCTGTGGGTGTATGAACACTATATTTGAATTCGTAATGAACACATTACCAACTGAATTGACGTTAAAAAAATAGTTCTGATTAATTAACAGTATCGTCCTGGAATAACCACATTTTATTACACATAGGTTTCGGAATTCAATATGATTTTTCAATATAGCAAAAAATAAATTATGAATACAAATTTATGTTTTATTCTATATTTTATTTTAAAATTGTGCATCTTTTTCTTGTATATTATCGAAAAAAGGATCTTCTAGATTTTAAATCATTTTTTTCTGTCGTGCTAGATTACGAGTATAATTATTATAAAGATATTTAAGTATCCATTTCTGACGAGTAAATATCCTGGAAGTACCTTGAATCTTTATTGTTTTGCATTTAACTTCAATCAATGACCACAAGTTTAGGATATTGTCAAGCCTCTGTTCCATTTTTACTCTTAATCGTACATAACAGTAAATACCTTTGAATAATAAGGAAAATATTCCTGTGTCATTTATTCTTATTATCGAAAATTAATGCATACATTATTATAAAAATAAATAATTTAGTAGAAAAACACATTTCTATTTAAAATAAAATTAATAAAATGCGTAAGCCTTCCTGTAGAATGATTTCTTTTTCACATTTCTTAATTTTTAGGAATTAATCTTCCGACTCAAATTTATGTCGACATTAATTAAATGTTACTTTAGTAATTATAACTATTTAACTTGTTATAAATGTAGTTATTAATACATTACTTTACAAACACAAAATATAAAGGTACCTAAATATATAAATAATACCTATCAATGTTTACGTTTAATTTTAATTTGCACCAGTAAATATCTTCTTTTTCGTCTTCCTAATTTGGATGACTGTCTCAAAGACCATTAATGTGATGAATATAAAAACAGATATAACAAAAAGGGTCACTGGGTCAAACAAAAAATATACTTTAATAGAGGAATATATTATTTTATATCAAAAGTCGTCTTACGTGTTCGATGTGAATATGAATCCATCGTTTAGATTCGAAGCTTCCAAAACGACCCTAAAGGGCTGACTGGGAGTGACCAGTGATTTATGCGGTCGTAAAGTCGCACACGCCGCTGCCCTAGCGCTCACTTGTATAATTCATTGTGCCAGGTCACGCTTGACCACGGCCTAGACCGTATTATGTTACAGATTTATTGATTCCATTCACGTTAGAACAATATTTGTTAAACGGATTATGTGTTCGTAGATGTTATAAATCATGTACAGATGAATTATAAGCTTTATTAGTTGTCTTATTGATTATATTGGAGATCCTCTAAGAATATTACGCCAAATAGCATGAAAATGCTAAGTAGGTACAACCGTAGGTACGAGGTACAACCTTCACGTTACTACCACTAACAAATACTATAATAATATGATTAGCATACATTTTCTATTAAGTTAATTAATGTTAATTTTTATTACATTTGCATCTAACTTAGGTATATCATATTTGGTAATATTTTAGAAAACCGGTGCCTCCTTTAACAAAAATGGTATACATATAATTATTAACATGAAATTTAAATACCGAATAGTAGTTGATTACGAGATAATTTAAGTATTGAATTTTATTTTTCATCTTTTTTATATTTACCCTAAATTATATTATGTATCTCAATATTGTCTAAAACCTATTTAATGTAAATATATTCAAAATGGTTAGTTAAAATATTTTTATAATAAATATTGTGGACATTTTATAAAAAGATAATTTAATTTCTCTTAACATCTTTAATAGACATTATATGTATGTATAACCTTTTTTATTCAAGTCGCGAGAGATTAGCACAAATAGGACTAAAAATATACTTTGCAGCATGCAAAAATTTAGTAAAAGTATTTCTACTATTTTCAGAGTACCTATTTTTTTATAAAAAGCCTTATATCGTTTCTGTTACTACGAGTAATGTATTTTCTTATCACAGTCGAATTTATAATTCATTTCTTTCGTGATAACACAACGACAAAATTATATCCGTACCATTTAAAAATCTCCCTAAGAAAACGCATAAAAACATAAGAGCAGTCATCTTTGTCTTCTTAACAGTTCCGAGTTGAGCGTTCAATAGCATTTGCAGTCAACGAGAATTTTCCTTGTAATCGATCGCTGGGTGTACCCGACACTAGAGATTGGTTGAGGGGCGTGGTGGATGTTATCATTAGGGTGACGAGGACCAATCGCATGTTGGTACTGATAAGAGGGTATGGGGTAGGTCGATGGGGTGACGGCAGTACGCCGGACGCAGCGGCGCAGGAAGGCCGCAGATCATGCTGGGCTCCATGATGTACCCCGGCGCGGAAGACGAGCTCGACATGCGCGTACCACCCATCCAACTAGAACACCTACCTGAAGTGTTCCTATGTACGTAACTAAATCAAAACGTGTGTGTTTCGCTTGCAAGTGAGTGATGTTAGTGATGAAATTGGTTTATATTTATATGTTTAATAAATAAGAAAGGTGATATCAAGATGAAGTGGAAATACTAGCGTTATAATGGAAATATATTGAATAATGTTTAGATATGCTTAAGTATATAAGTTACATCTTAAAAAGAGTTTACCAATGGGGTTATTGTCGAATCCGTTTGTTTGTAAAGTTCACTTCTGCCTCAAATCCTTTGTTTTTGGACAAGGGGTAAATTGTATCGTAAACACACATTTAAAAATAATCTCGTCAAATTAAGATCGTGAAGAAAAAATGTTGACATTAAACTCTTAATATAATTTCGTTCTTTTTAAAATTTAAATAATTTTAATTAAAACCAAAATAACTTTCAAATAAGGATTTTTTATGTCTATTAATTAATTTTATTAAAAGTGACGTATTGCAATATTCAATATGATTATAAAATATATTTAAAAAATCTATTTTAAATTTTTGCAAAACAATTTCTCTTTTTCAATACAACTTATTTATTGTAGTTAAATGACATATATAAGTTATTGATATACAAAATTATACTGTAAGTTTTTGTTACAGTCATTGAACAATTTCAGTATAAGTACCATATTATACATAGATCAGAAGTTATTTAGGTATGGTTTCTTAATAAACTTTTTGTAATTAATAATTCCGGGTAAACTAAAAATTTAAGTTTCAATTTTTATCTGACACAAAACAACATTAGGATAATTTGTTTAATATATAGTCATGAAATTAAAAAAGAAACATGAACTTTTATAACAACTATATTATTTACAGCACAACGTTATTAATATTACATTAATTTTCATCAAACTATTACCAGATTACTTGTTTTACTGCACTAAAAAGTCGGGAACATACAGAAATTATAAATATACTGTTGGTGTCGTTACTCAATACAAATTAAATTGAATGCCTTAAGCTATCTTCAATAACAAATCAAAAGAAGGTTTCAAACTTTATTAAATGTTTAAAGATTTTAATAACATATAACATAAGTCATACGAAATAGAAATAAACGAGGTTTAGTATACTACTAATTTATTCTCTTTTAATTTATTCTATTGTGTTTTTGCAGCCAGTATACCAAAATGTGGAGGCTGTCATGAGATGATAGTAGATCGATACGTGCTCAAAGTGTCAGACAGGACTTGGCACGCTGGCTGTTTGAGGTGTGTCGAGTGTCGAGCCATGCTATCAGGGAAGTGCTTCGCTAGAAATAACCAGCTATACTGCACCGAGGACTTCTTCAAGTAAGCCTCTTCACATTTTGTAAAAATACAAATAGATATAATAGTATAAAGTTATCAACCGATATATAGCTTATGTAACAGGTTTTTCTCTAAAAGATATGAAAAAAAATAATCTAATCGTTAAAAAGTATAATGGAAAATATTCAGGATATATTTGTTTGTTTTAATTAAAAATCAAAGTCACCATTATGAAGGAAAAATATGTAAAAAATCTATATAATTGTACTATTAAGGCATCAGTGCAATTAATTATCACGTAATATCACTTTGATAATGTTGTTGGTTGCGGCTGTTGTCCCAGGCGTTACGGCACTAAGTGCGCGGGCTGCGGGCAGGGCATCCCGCCGACGCAGGTGGTACGGCGGGCCCAGGCCCACGTTTACCATCTTCGGTGTTTCGCTTGTGCAGCCTGTGCACGCACACTCAATACCGGAGACGAATTTTATCTAATGGAGGATGGAAAGCTTGTTTGTAAACCGGACTATGAAGCTGCGAGAGCGAAAGGTTTGATATTATTTACATTTATATGAAATTCTAAGTTTTGGAGCGATTTTTATACATTTTTATTTAATAGGTGAAGGTTCGTTGGACGGAGACGCAGCTAGCAAGAGACCGCGAACTACAATTACTGCAAAACAGCTTGAAACTCTTAAAAGTGCTTATAGTAGCAGTCCGAAACCAGCTCGCCACGTGAGGGAACAGCTTGCTCAAGATACCGGCTTGGATATGAGGGTCGTTCAAGTTTGGTTTCAAAATCGGTAAGCATTCTATTTTTTATGAAGTTTGCCATTAATTGTTTTGCCTTGTTAAAATAACATTTTTATTTCCCGTTTAAATAAAAAAAGTAAACGTAGTTTTTCTATGACCGTCAACCGCCTTTGCAACCATGATAATTGTTAAATCGATTTAGGATACCCAATCGATTTAACACACACTAGAATCATGGCGAGTGACTTAGTTCTAACTATTTTGAAATGGTTGGTGGATTAACGAGACGGAAAGAAAGATTGAAATTTTATAGCTTTATGCTTTATGGTTTACATTTGAAATGCACTGTTTGATAAAAAATATATGCGAGTCAACTTTAGCTTGATTTTACTGATGTGGCTTTGTTGTGTTTGCTGATACTACCTATTCTAGTGATGATATCTATTATGGCTAGTATTCGGTTTTGTCAATCGGCATTGTACTATTCAGCATGGCCACAGTCTGCCAATATCGCTTTTGTACTTTTCAAATAGATTTTATGTTTTCAAAATGTTCACGTTAGAATGCTATGATATATTTTCCATTCGTAATTATAAAGAACAATAATAAAAATCAATCATAGATGATTTGAGAACTGAGATATATTTAAGTTAGTTTAATTATAAAGAAAACTGAAGATCTTAAATTTAAAAAAATATTAATCTCATAATTCATTACGAATGGACGAATGTGACGATTATTAGTTTTTTTTTATATCTGTACATAGTAAATTGATCTCTATCGGAAATGTGTCATATTTTATTACGTGTACTGAAACCTTTCGTAGCATGAAATATCCTATAAGGATAGTCCCTTCTGAATTGGACCGTGGTTTTGAGAAAATATCAGATATATCAACATATTGGCAGACAATAGTTACTGTTATATAAAACTGCTTTTATGCAGTCTAAAAACGTGTGCTCAATCACCATAGTATCAAAGTAGCTATGTGTGGTCGCGCGCGAGTTACTCCCGTCACGGCGGCCGTCACACCCTGCGCTTTGGCCTCGCCTCGTAAAACTGCGCCCGTTATCACAATGGACTGAACTAGACTTTATATCAGAAATGCGTATTATGCATGTAAATATACCTTAACCATTATATGTTGATTAAATTTGCTTGTTATTTCCTCTTGGAAGCCACATTTATTCATCGGGAGATGATTCCTCTTTAACGTTCCAGAAAATTCTGTCAAGCTTCCTGCAAATCTACTTTATTTGTGAATTCATTTTATAATTTTAATTTATTTATTCATTATTGTGTCCTTTTCATATCACAATTATTGGATAATAGTTTTATATCTAAATAGTTAATTTATACCACATAAGAGTCACATGCCCATTAATGAATCCCTGAATCACTAGTATAACAAACATTATATATAAGAAACATATAAATCTGTTAATGATTATTATTTATGATCGTAGTGATAGGACGATATATATTCTATTCCTAGCCTATACGATATACATTATTTCAAAAATTGTGTGTTAAGTAGATGTTTTTTTAAATGTAATAACATTTAGACTTTTTATATCTGTTTTGTAGCTACGACACATCTACGGAAAAAATACGAGAAATAGGTATCCTTGTAATAAGCTATCAGCTTTTTAGCCATAGTTAAGGATATGTAAATAAGGCCTTTGCCAGATTACATACAATAAAAGAAATTGATTAAGTAAGCGTAATGTTGCTGAAAATTTAAAAAAACACGATTTATACGAATAGTTTTTCGGATTAATACGAGAGATATTATAGAATTTATGCAATTTTCAAGTCTTTCGAATTTGTTAAGTACTTTGGGAAACAAATAAAGTCTTCAGAGGCAAAAATGGAAACTGAGAGCATTTAGGCGACCACAGCTTAGGTTTTAAGATATAAAATCCAAAATTTTATATGTCAACAACTTGCGTGAAACCATATATCTTATTTTCCGAATATCGAAAAGTATAATGAAGAGTAAATTAAGGTGACAATTACTAATAAATCGGACTAATTGGACTAAATTCGGACTAACTTCTCGGTACAAATTGTGTCTTTGAGTAGGACAATTTATGGGGTCCGTCAATACAATTACTACTAGAATATCGCGACAAGTCTTGTAAAACAAGGATTTTGAATTTTTTGTGTCCATAGCCTACTAGATTGCTTCAGTTTCTTTGAGAAAGGTTACAAACTGAACGAAAATTTTATCGAAAATAAGTATAATAGGTTGTTTTGAACAAGAATTAAGTTTCTTGAGATAAAAAAGGTAACAATTTTAGAAAACCGAGATGTAGTGTATTGATTAAAAGTTTTGGGGAGTTGAATGAAATTTCCATTGCGACTTTCTGATTTTTTGAAATTTAAACGTAGTTATAAAAACCTGTAGAGGAAACATATCATCTAAAACTTTTTTAAACTATGCATTTGCACTGGAATAATGAAATATTTTGGTTATATTAAAGTTTTTATTTGTTGAACGAATTTTGATCTTGAGTCTTCAACATTTTAAAATATAGCTTTAACAACAACATATCTATTAAAATGGTGTACAATTTGCTTTACTACATGAAATCATAAATTTCTTTTACTTATCCATCGATTATTAAAAGTAATCTAGGTTTTCACACTTATTTTCACTTATAAGCACTTATTTTCACACTACTTTTTTTGAATAGGGTTAGGGTTCATTTCCCAGTTCTGGTATGTAATATTTATTTTATTCTGAAAAGAAAAACAACAAAGAAACGAAATAGAATTGACATTACGAAAAAAACACCACCTGTTATAGTTCTTAATATGCATTTGTTCGTTTTTCAATAAATTAATAAAGTTATACAGATTTTTCATCAACAGTAATGCGTACATTTAGGGAAACATAAAAATTAAATATTAATAAATTAATATACATATAAATACATTGTTCTTGAAGATAATAGTTTAATACAAAGGTGTGTTAAAAATAAATGAAGAATATACAAAAATTAATCAGGAATTATTTATAACATATGTAATAAGCAATTAATAAACATGGATAAACAACAACAACAACACAAAAAAATATCTACAATTTTTTTTTTGTAAAATCGCCCCTTATTTGTTTTAATAGCTGAAACGAGAAGATTCGTTATAGCAATAGAAATAAACTTACTAGGGAAAAATATTATTAAACAAACAATAGTTTATAAAAGTGCTGGTTATGGACTTTTATTTATTATTTATTTCTGTATTTTTATTACTATTATATTTTTATTTGAAGAAAACTGTACTAACTTCCTTGTTTTCCATGTTTTTTTTATTTGATAGCTTGGGCTTATATTTCTTCGTGTTAAATTTTACATTTATTTAAATTTTATAACTAATTTCGATGTACATATTTGGAATATCAGTTGAATATTTCTCAATAGTTGTCTAATTGTCTATCATATCCGAAAACTTTATACACTTGATATTAATTGAAATATTTTTAAACGGCACAACATCGTAAATACCAATTAGTTTAACAGCTGTAGGGATCGAAAAGACTTTTATAGTAGCATGGTAAAAGCAATTTCGTCGTTCCAATAACGCATGTAAGCTATATCGCTGCGAGTCTCAGCGGGCTGGGCGGAGGCATATTAATTAAACTATGTAGACTCCCCGCCGCTCTGGTAATAACACACGCGAAATATATGGCTCCCAGGAAACGTTAAGTTTGTCTTTAATAGAAGTTCGGATAATTATGTTTTATAATAGTTGATTTTTATATTAGTTTTTGTCTTCATGAAACTCATATAATTGTAAAGACTACATAATGCCGACGTTCGGTTACTTTTGAGCAACCGTGATAACGGGCAGACGAGATGTGAATTTTAAGTTCTTGTCTATCATAGAAGTTTTAGTTTAACAATTGTTGTTAAGTAATAATAATGTAAAAAATTGATATACAAAAAATATAAAAATATATAGACGTTTTGGGAATTTCTTTATATTTGGTTTACATTTAAATTATCATCTCATTTTTCCGCGTTATTGGTTTATGTAATTATCGAGACTGAGTTAAAATCCAAAAAAAAGTAAATGAAACTAAGATTTTGGATACTAGTATCGCTTGTCTCTTCATCTCGTCTGCCCGTAATTACTGTAAAGGAACCGAAACGTCGGGATTACGTTACGTTATAAAATAGGAAAAAACGCATAGTTAAACGTAATTTTATTAACATGTGAAGCAGCGAAAGTCTTAGATATATATAATTAAGTAAACCTAAAGTGGTTACTCACTAGTACGTAGTATCCTAAAAACTTAGTTTCCCTTAAGTACCTATCCACTTAAAATATAAAGTCTTACTTTACACTTACTCATCATGAATATATATGATTGTTTAAATGATTAATATATATTAACACAATAGGAGGGCAAAAGAAAAGCGACTGAAGAAGGACGCGGGTCGAACAAGATGGTCACAATACTTCAGATCTATGAAGGGCGGAGGTAGTGGCTCACCGCGTCACGATCGACTTCTGGATAAAGACGAGTTGAAAATAGATTTGGACTCTTTCAGTCATCATGGTTAGTAAAATGCATTTCCCTTTTCAGATAAAAATATTAAAGTTACTAAATGAAATGGCTTGTAAACACGTTAGAATGTCCTAAATTAAATTCATATAAAAACGTAATTTCCTGCACAGGAACTAGTGAGAAATTCAAATATAGTAATAATATTATACATAAAGGTATAGCTCACTAATAGTTCTTAACGACATTTCGTTTTCAATATTTTATGTTACCTAACATAACTCATACTTAGAGTTGATCCGTTTCAACGATTTTCTTTATAATTCATTTTATCTCTCCACAGAGTTAAGCAACGATAGCTATAGCACTGCTGCGCTGGGTGGTGAGGAGGGATCACCAGCCGGCGGCGCGGCGGGGGGGACTCGGTTTGGTACCACGCCACCGTATCTTCGTGCTCATTCACCCCCCCACGCACATTATCATTATCCCCCCGATCACCTCGTATATACCAATATCGGTGAGTGACATTATTGTTCGGAAGGCCTTGTATCTGGGTTCCATTAAATTATGTTTAAGCTTTAAGTCATTGATAAAGCATTTTTTAAGCTATAATGCAAATGCATCGATTTTTACTGAAGGTATTTGTAGGTTAGCTGTAGAATATAATACCAAGGAATTAATATTGTGAATAGGAAATTTGTCACCAATATTATTTTCGTTGTCTGTTTTAAAGTATACTGAATGATTTTTTGTAATATAGGTCAATCAATGGGTGGCACTGGTTTAGGAGTGGGGGCTGGTGGTGCGTCTGATATGAGCAGCTCTTCTTCCCCTGCGGCTGGTGGGTACCCTGACTTTCCTCCGTCTCCCGACTCCTGGCTCGGCGAACCACATCACTATTCGCCCCGAGGCTACCCCTAGCGGCGGCCGCCGCCGGCTCACGTCCAGCCCGCACCTCAGTCGCTGCCCGCGCCCTGTCCGCCTATATGCGTTCAACCTCTAGAGCTCGTTGTCAAACGTGAGCTGTGAATTGTGAGATTTAAACTACCATATAAAGAACATTAAGCCTCCGATATAAATCTGTATATAATAATGTTTAATAGATTCACAACTATTTCATTTATGTACAGCGTAATGTTATAGGCATTGATACTGTATTTTAATCTTTATCTGAGGCTCTTTATTCGATGTTGGAAAATAAACAATCGCTAATGAAAGTACGATCATCTGCTGCGTGTTTATAACTTAGATGTGACATTTTGTATTTACACAAAGGACACTTAAATTTATTTTCAAAATATAAGTAATCGTTCTGTGTATATATAATAAAAATTCATCTTATCATAAAATCATAAACAAAGCTCATATGCCATCGTCTAACTCACAAAAATAATACTTGTATGAAATATTTTGTCTTTATTAGTAGTTACAAAATAGTGAATATATTGTATTTTTAAGTAATTTCAATATATGTTGATGTAATCGTACTAATATTATTGTACATACAAAGTTATGAGATGATTAGGATAAAATTCATTTAAGATAAAATGTATATAATTATTTAATATTAAGTGATATGATACTTCGTGCAAAAAATCTAGTCGAGATAAATGGTATTATAATAATACAAATATTGTAATTTAATGTAAGTTTTTTATTTACAATAGCATTATGTATTAAAGTTCAGTTGTTGCAACTCCCCAATATTGCTGCATCCGGCCCTCAAGATCCAGAGAGTCCTGTGATTGTGTTTGTTTTTCTTGAATAACTGCAAAATCATATTCTAAATGATAAGGCATTAACCTTTGAAGTGAACCAAAATAAGCAGCATTGGGACCACCATTAGGCATTCTTCCTGAACCGAAACGAAACTCAGGCTTTATATTAGTACCGAAAGATCTAGCACTCCCGAAATGTTTTGAGAGAAACGGTAGTTTTGATTGTTTCGTATTTAGATGTAGTTGGGGACTACTACCTGAGAGTCCCTTTAAATTTCTTAAACTGCTTGTATTTGATTTAATTCCTTTTGAAAGATTATCTAGCTCTTTATCAAATAGCATTTGTGTATTTTGTTCTAGCATATATTCCCAACATTTGAATTGTTCATCTGAAGAGGGAACGTCGTCAATTATTTTGTCAGTCTCTTTGTCTTCTTCAACTCGAACTCGAATTGCTCGTGCAACTCCGCCTCTTGGTTTTCTTTCTGAAGCCCTATTATGAGAACGTACACTGGCGTAGTGTTGATGACTGACTGTTTCACTAGAAGGCCGATCACTTTGTCCACTTGGAGAAGATCTATCGCTATTTGATTTTGGTGGTGAAATAGAATGGCAACATGGTTCTAAACGAGAGCAACAACAGTCGGGGTTACATACAGGTTTGTTTGTGTTGATTGTATGTCGTAATTCTCGCATTAATAAATCTACATCGGAACGAACGGTATCAAATCGTACAATTACCACCGATATACAATCCTCTGTTCCGTAACTTTGAGCCAAATCTTGTAATCTCTTTGCTGCTAATACTGGATTCCGTTCAGCTCTCACTTCTGATATCGCAGTATCGACTGTAACGGATTCCCAAAATTTTGCGTTTCCTAATATTAAAAACTCATCGTCTTCTTTAATTACAGTTTGTATAATATCGGGATCAGGTACATTAATTGGATATCTTGAGGAATAACCTAACCGTTTATTATCATCTATACCTAAACATAAAGGGCCATTACGACGACTTAACACTGCTTTTGTATTCCCAACATTCGCTAATCTTATATTATATCGTCTTATGGGTTGTCCGAAACTATTATCGGGAGTATTAATAGGAGACAAGTGACACATTACAAGACATGCACCTTTTGTCTGCCCTTTTTGTTTCAATTCTCTATGTGCAGCTAGTATAACATATTTCATATATTCATTGACTGTTTCCTTAATAGATTTTTCTTCAAGTAATAATCCTGGAAGACATGACTGTAGTATTTTTGGAACTTCGATATCTGTTTCTCCGTCGATTATAGCAAATAAGCCTTCCTTGTTACAAAACGATGGAAGTCGTATTTGAGCACAAGATAGGAGAAGTTTTTTATTTGGACATTCTGAAAATCCAGTTACCCACGGGGTCCCGCCACATAATTCTTCATGAAAATTATTTTTTTGTGATAAAGAATTTGCATGTTGTCCAGTGACATCAACTAGGCTTAAAGGTCGTTGACATTTATAAGCATTAAATTGTGAGGGATTCATTTGTAACTTCTTATTACATGATATGTCTAAAAATTTTAGTTGCTTCGGTGCTAAAAGACGCAGATCAATGCTGTCTAGTTCGTTATGAGCAAAGTCTAGAATTTTAACGCTAGCACTGCAAGCAAACATTGGAACTGACCGAAGACGGTTTGAATGTGCCCTCACAATTTTTATGTTATTCATCTGTGGCAAATTATCTGGCAATTTCGAGAGTGAATTACCAGAAAGAACCAGTTCTTCAATTTCTGGCCAAAAGTTTAAACATGTTTCAGGGAGGTTGGTAAGGCAATTATGTGCAATGTGTAATATTTTAAGACCACGAAATGTAATTATAACATCTATTACATCATCGGTTAAGCAATTGGCTGTTAAGTATAGGTTCTCTAAGCAATGTGGAGATGCTCCTCTTACTCGAGGAAGTCGACTTAATCTATTATTAGATAAATTTAAAATACAGAGCCTATCACAAATGGAAAAGAAATTTTCTGGCAACGACTGTATACAGTTATCATGAAGAAGTAGTTCCTTTAACGGTGACCTTAATCGAGGCATAGATGGAAAATTTGTTATTTTATTGTGAGCTAAATGTAGATGACTCAAACTTGAGAGTTCACTACAAAACAAATGTTCTGGTAGGGACGTTAGTTGATTATTACTTGCAAACAGTTTGGTCAGATCTGAACAACCACTGATCCACTGTGGTAAAGATGATAATTTATTATATGTCAAGTTCATCTCCACTAAATTTATTGGTGGCACCGTTGTTGTCAAACTCTCCATATCTAAAAAGAAAATATTCTTTTTCAAAACGTGAAATTTTAAATAAGGGCTTATTTATTTTATTTTAACAGCTCGTGATTTATGCGCCTTTTCTTCAGGAAATATGTTTTTTATAATAAAACTATTAAGGAATACAATGTTCCAATTTCATGAATGGTCAATTAGTAAAACATTTTGAGATAGTTGAAGATAATACTTACTATTGTACGGAGCATGTAGGACACGTAATGAAGCACCATGCAAGGCTAAGTGCTGGATAGAATTATGAGCTGCATACAGCTCTCGTAGTCCACGAAGCGATGATAGCACCAAAACTTCAATAGAGTTATGAGAGACATCAAGAGTCACCAGGTGCTGAAAACGTAGGTTATTATTATTAGATTTTGTACCTATTTATGTATATATATTTATATTTCAGATTTTTAAATAAATTAAGCTATCGAGTATACTTCTTTTAAGTTAAAAGTAAAAAAAAACATTTCAGAAAATTCTATAATTCTTCATTTATTGTTTATTTACTGTTTTGCAATCATAGTATGGTATAAAAACAGTAATTTTAATTATTTTCATATATTGTTTAAGGTCATGACATACCTCATAATTACCAAGAATTATGCTTCCTTTTAATTTATTGTATCGGAGGTCAACATTCGTAAGCGGTGCACGATATTCTGACTTATTTTCTTCTAGAAAACCCATTTGGCTAGTTTCATTGGCCTGCAGAGATTTAGAATATTGTTAGAATAACCAATATTCTCTAAGAGAGTTGCTAAATTATGGTTAATCGAGCTTACTCCGAATTGTGTGATCAAGTTTCTAGCAGCTACAACAGTTCTCAGACGAGGGAGTCGTAAAAGACAGTCCAGCGACTTTATTTCGTTGTTGCTCACGTTTATTTCTTCTAATCTGTAAAAAACAAATAATATTCATGTTAAAAAAAAACTACGAATACTTTTAAAACAATCAACCAGTATTTATGGTCATTCAAAATTATTTGAATCATACGAAAATAGTAAAACTCATAACTGTTTATTGATTTAATAAGCTGCATATTTTTCATATAAAATATTTTGAGTAAATAAGGAATAAATAAGGAATAAGGAAGAAATTTTGAGTAAATAAAGTGTTACTTATACATCCTTTTGAAACGATGGACAATTCACCTACGGAAAACAAATACAATAAGCCCTACTTAGTAAGTTGTATTTAATGAAATTAGTTATTTATTTAAATATACATTTATTTATTAATATGTTAATTACATCAAGACTAGAAAATACATAATGTTATAACCATATTTTTTCTTTTAAAAATGACTAGTCTTTTTAACATTTTTCTTAGTAATAAATTATTATTTAAAGCAAGAGGGAGAAGCCGCGGTCGGGATTTAGTATTAGATAAATCAGTCTTTGCACCTATTACATAAAGTTAGATGGTTTCATGTTATTTACTTACATTGTTTACTTACGAGCTATTTTGTTAACAATGGTCGAGTAGTTTATGTAATAAGAAATTTATTGGGTGTACACAAATTTCACCTACTACTAATACTACTAAAATTGTTTAATCCAAGCACATTAGAAGACTATCATTACAAATAAACATTAAGTTTGAAATGTTATTGTCAAATAACGTTTTGAAACATAAGTATTATCTTTCGTGGCCGATTAAGTTATAAAGCGTAACAAATGAATTAAAAATTTCGTTACCTACAACAACGGCCCGGATACTTTTACTCGATGTATGACCTCAAACCGAATATAATTTACTTATATTAATATAAATTTTATAAATGAAATGCTTATATTATAATTATATAGAAATAAAAAACTATCTCTCTCTTCATCAATAGTTAAAATTCATTATAAAAATATAACTTACCAATAAAACAGAAACAAACATCTCATATTCAAATCATAGCACTTTCATAGTGTTTTAAATGAAAACATTAGTTGAATAAAATGAATTTTGTATCTAAATTAAGTCCGAACACAGTATGTACGGCCATCGCTAAGAATGTACGACTACTGACCCGACTTTACACCGCACCGCTGCGCCTTAAACATTTTAAGTTGGTGCGAAGGCTGTCTTAAAGTACATATTTTATTAAATTACCAATTAATTAATATCTTATTTCATCAAAGGCATAAACTTATATTTATTACTGTTACAATGGAATTTACAGTTTTAATTGCTTTTAAATTTGATTTATGTTTAAATTAGTTATAATTAATTATTTCATGATCGCTCAATAAACTACATATATGTTATATATATACATGTACATATGTATGTATTTGTCGATAATATGTAACCACTTTAAACTTTTGAAGTTGTTTATTTTTATATTGAATAAGTAATGGGAAGTTATTAGGGAAATTAAACAAAGTAAATCCCTTTTATTTTAATGTACAATCTACGCTTCCATTTAGCAATAGCAAGATGCAATAGACTACCGACGTTACTGTAACAAGCATTGTTATATTGCTTATCAATCAACATATATGCAACAGTTTTTAACCCTCAATTTCCGATTTCGTCAATCCTTCCTGGACCTACATTCATTATAATATATCAATTTATGACTATTTTGTTTCGGTTTCTAATAACTGTAGGGTCAAACGAATATGTCGCTTTTGTTAATATGATAAAGTCATTAATTCCATACACAAATATTCCGAATGATAACCTTCTGCAACGTATATTAAATCGTTAGCAGGTATGTGGAAAATGAAAGGGAAATAGGTAAAATATTTAAGAGATTCTGCGAACGTACGTCTTATCTGATTGAAGGGAGGTAATTATTTACGGAACTAAAGAATAACAGGAAACGTCAGATAATATTTATTTCCTTCAAAAACCATCCATGAGGCGTGATGGCCGATAAAATCAGTAATTGTTCATGAGTTGTAATTACTTGTTTAATGTATAAATTATTATCTTAACGTAATTTGTATTAAATCGTCAATTAAGACTTTAGTAATCAGGACGAAGCGTTGATTAAGTTACAAGGGATAATTGTGGACTTCAAATGGAATAAATAAATTCTTATCAAAGATTTGCTCTCATATATTTTTATTATTTTATTTCTAATTTATTTGATAGGTGAAAACTTTATGTACATATATTTTTCTATAGTTTCCTTTGAATATTTTGTATAAAAATTGCACTATCTACTTCAAAAGAAAGCTGACATAAATAATATGTGATGATCCGGAAACAAAATAGTTTTTTCATGATAACATTTAAAAAAAAACTGGATGGTCTATTCTCTTTTTTCTTCTTCTTTTTCTTACATAAGCTGGAGAGGTTGTAATTTAGTTTTTATTGAGCCGATTTTATATAAACAAAGAAATTAATGTTGTTATTGAAATAACAAAATTTTGTTCAAAATATATGGCTGAAATCCAAGAAATAGTATTGTTTGATTAGATATGAAATTATTTGCCATTACAGATTTTCCGAAGGAAATTTCATATAATTTATAAGTCTATGGACACTTTAAGGGTTTCTTATATAGCTATTTGGTAACTTAGCTATTTGTTGCTGAGAAACGATCAGTGAAAAATATAAAACAAAGAATTTCTTATAAAGTTTTTTGACATATCACAAAATGTAAACGAAATAATTTATATTAACTATGTAAATTAATTTATTCCCCAATTTTAATAATATGACCTAAACAAAAAATAAGCATCAATGGGACAAAGTAATCTTTATTTTTCACGGAGACAATAATTTGATTATTATTGATTAATTACCCATAAATTAGAAATAGGAATATGTAAAGACTGATAATTTTATTCGAACAATCTTATATGAAAATTAAATTCACATAGCATTTAGTTTATAATAACATATTTATATTATTGGAGTAAATTTTCTATCACGATAACACAAACAAGGTCGCTCGTTAGGGTTGCTACAAGTGAACGTTGCGAGCACGCTCCGACGCACCGATGTAGATACAACGCGCTCACTTAAAAAAATTGGCACACAACGGAAACGTTGTCAATTAACATCTTACAACTGTTAGCTTAATGGATATAATGACATGAAGATTTTATTTACAATACATTATCATCTATTACGTTATTGGGATAAACGTTGATTATGTATCGATAACAAATAATCATAGAAATTTTAAAGCTGAAGAAGTTGGGCTGAAAATCATTTTCGTGATATTTCTACTAACTTCTAGATTGTTATGTACATAATACAGTATGGTATTAACAATTACATGTGTATTACATATCAACGTATAATACGAAATGCAATAGATAACTATTTTGACGTCTTGTTTCACTTTTTTCTATAAAGCATAGTGCACGCAATCTCCGCAAGGCGGAATGATCCCGAGATGCAGAGCGTCACACTCCGCTAACGAAGCGTTAAGAATAAAGCCGTAACAGAAATGTATATTTGCTGATTTAATGTACTCGAATTGTATGCAAAACAGAGAGCAGTATTCAAACTATGAGGTTATAAACAAACGAGAACTTTCGTAGTTTTCATAGTTCTTTTGTTCAAGGAAATTAATAAAATACGTTATATGAATGGTATGTATGGTGGATACTTATTTAAGGTCAAAAACTATGTCGAAGAATTAATCTTTATGTATTATTTGTCACTGTTATATAAAACGCAATTTTCATTTACATACTTTTTTTTATGGGACTAACGCCGTTTTTTGGTTTATAAGTAATTAATACATTTTATACGACAAACATTATCTTCCGTTGTTGTTAAAATTTATATTAGTAAATAGTGCATAAAATTTCTCTTCATGAAATTAAAAATGTTGTTTAGTTTACTTTAATCTTCTTGAAAAGAATACAAATTAGTTTTGAATCATTTTACAATTTAAGAATTGAACATAGTTTCTATCATGCATTTTGTTACTAAATTCGTATTATGAACAGACGATAACGAAGTCTTCAATCAATTGTTTATAAAAGTAATATTTATTACCTGTACTTAAAAATTCAATATTGAATAAATAAACAAAACTTAATTAATTTACATAAATCTATTATAACTGACTATTACCTTGACAACTACTTCCGTCTATCACATTCAAAGATTTAATTTTCATATAGGTAGGTAGGTACTATTCATTTTAAAAACTTACCTCATCTTAATAAAACTAAACATTATGTACAAAATTTACTTTGAATATTTTATGAAAATATTTTAATAATGATCAATAAACATCTACTACCATTTTATAAGTAAATAAAACAGATACTAAAAGAAATCACAAAACTGAGCGTGTACAGCAGCGTCTTAAATAAATAATTGATAATTGGCTGATGTTCAGTAATTTATTGATTTTCATAATTGTTTTAGAAAAGCTTAAATTGTCTTATGTAAATATTTTTAGTTACTTCCCCTTAAATCAAAGGATATCTATTTAATTCATTACTCACTGCGTTAGATGTGAAATCTCCTTTGGTAGCTCAATGATTTTATTGTCGCTAACATCGAGATGAGTGAGGGCTAGCAGGTTGCATGTTTGTGGAGGCAGGGCTGGTAGAGTGTTGTTCCTCATCCTTAAAACTCTCACCGCGAACCCATCTGAGGCGTGCTGGTTTAGAGCTACCGGCAGACAGGAACGTCCGCCACCACTCAAGTCTAACACATTTGGTGGCTGTGTACTTTGAGTGCCCTGAAACAATGAATTATGTTTTAATATTCTCATATAATTCTCATAACTCGAAGAACCTTTGCGTCGAACCAATCCATCGCTGGATTGTTTATAACGTCGATTTTGATATAAATTGATTTGTAAGGTTCTGTAGGATTTCAATATTATACATTATTAATTGAATACAAAATATATAAATTTTTATAACAAATAACAGTCAGTTTAGAAAGACAACAGAATATAAAAATCAATTTATCTAAACAATTTTCTAGTTACAATGTACATGTTATCTGATTTCATGTTATTTTATTTATGTTTATTTATGATTTTTTTTATCTTATTATTTCCTGGCAAAGATCGCCCATCAGTGATAAGTCCGTCTTTCGTTTTTGTGCCTGATTTTTATAAATTTCCTTTAATTAGGGTTGTACAATACATATTTATTAATTTGATTATTTTGCTATGAAACAAATTAAACTTTATTTTTTCTATTGTTACCTACCGAGTTTTCATATTTCTCTCTATAAGTAGCTGGTTCCAAGCTATCCAAGAACACATCTTCATTTTGCTGAGAGAAAACATCCAAGCTGTCTATCTCCTCGTCTTCACATTTCATTTTATTACTCTCAACCATTACAATACACTTTTACGTAACAATATAAACAATGATATTGTTTCGTCTAAATTTCTATACAAACTTTTTAGAATTCCGTAAATCGTATTATTATTTATAAGCTATCACATCACGGTATGAAAACTTTGTTTTTTTTTCTGTAAATCACTCAGTATTCTTCGAAAGAATTTACTTGTTAAATTCGAAATGAAAACGAGCGATTTTAAGCTTTAAACACGCGGCCGACGAACTCGAATTATTATGCTTGAAGCTTATAAAATAACTCCACGCCGCGAATTTCTTATTCCAATCACGATTGAATTCACTTGTAGGGGTCTTTTAAATATCCTTTTTCTAATGTTGAACTTATTCAAACTAGATATAAAGATCAAGTCACTGGTAAACAGCCGATTTTAGCAAAGTATTTTTAAGGAATTAAAATTTATTAGTATTACTTTTAATGTTATTCCGAGCTACTTTATTTTACGTAACGAATGTTTGATGTACTTTTTTTTCAACGAATTTAAACTCTGGTTACGTTTATGACATCACACTAGAATTGTATCACATTGTCACAATAGTGCGTCGTAGTTTATGCTCAGTGAAGATTTGACTGAAGGCGTACACAGCGCTAGACATTCGGGATATGTCGACCGGAACGCTTTGTAGGGCGCCGCTTCTTATTAATAAAAACAAATAATCATATTTAAATATATGCTTATGTATATACGTAATAGAAAGTCTGGTTACGTATAGACGATAGGAAGTGTAAAATTTAATTGAATTTTAAATGTAATATCCATTATATTTTACATACGTATATTAATATTAAAAATATTTATTCAACTTCTTACTTAACATTATCGAGATATTCCTAAAAATATAGTTTTATAATGGTATATTAATCCCTGAAAACGTAACAGACTATTGTAAAAATTACTCAACCCTGCATCTGCAAGAAATGCACATCTAAATGTCAAAAAGTTGACTAAGTAAAAAGATTTCTAGCAATTTTCCGCCTTTGTTGATGGATCGTTAGTTTGGGAAGTGTACCGGAATCGATCCCCAATCTATTTGAATCTTGCGCATTGTATTATCGAATACTGGTCTAGAAATCATAAACTTATTCACTCAACAATAATCATTTAGAAAAATATGAAATTATATATGACTAAAAACATACCTCTTTTAACCAACGGCACCACATGTTGCGCTCCCAAATTGTATTGAACCCCAGAAATAAATGATTGACTCCCGTGTCAAGTACACCATTGCCTTGACAACGAAGCTTTACGCAGAGGACTAGTTTTTGGGCTTTCGGTTGACACATTTCAATAGTACCCCCATTGAGCTCCAACATATCCCAGGACACACCTTTAATAGAAAAACCGTCGAACATAAAATCTTAGACAAGTACAACTGTAGAACATGAAATCTTAGACTTATATAATAGAACAGATCAATCAAAGGTTTGGTTTCTTATTAACAAATCCATCGAAACAAAACATTGATTATATTTATATATAATATTATTATTAATCGGAATATTCGATGAACACTCAAGTATAAAGTAAAATAATTAAACGTTAACTCAAATTATAAAACATATTTATATATAAACACGCATATATAAATAATAAACATCAAAATTAATTAGATCCGCATACCGTGTGTATGTAATTGCGATCCAATGATGTGGGCTTGTCGCGGCTTCCATTGTGGGAACACGTGCCCTTTTAGAACATAAACAGTGCCTGAACGCAATACACCACCAGACCGACTGGAAGGTCCAGCACACCAACGCAGACTATGACGTAACTCCGGATCAACCGCAAGCCGCTGTCGCCTTGGCTCTGACTTCCAACCATTACTAATTAAAAACTTCTCCTGTATTTGGAATGGGAACTCATTCAATTCTAGTCGTCGAGAATTTTCTCCTCCTATCTGCACCCATAGCGTCAACTCCTCATTGAAACCAAGTTTCTTGTTTACGTCTTCGACGGTAGTATATGGCGACACTTTTAACAGCTTGCTCGGGGCATCCACAGCATAGGGTTCAAGGCCATCAAACACGCGTATCCAGGTAGATTCAGAGCGCGGTTTGAATCCTCTTGTTGATGCTAGTCTTCGGAGCGACTTGCGCGTGATAAGAGGCGATGGAGTGAGGCCGTCGTCACAGACCATGGCGCAAATGGTCGCGAGGCGCGGGAGCCGACGCCGTAATGCCCGTGCCTGACGGAGCCAGCCGTTGCATTACAATTGGGTCGTTGTAGTGGGGGTGGGAAACACGTTGCTCGGTCATTCGGGAAAATGTAAATCAGGATTCTTGATTCCTGGCAGACAGTTTTGGTATAATATGATGTAGCTACATATTATCTCAAATATCGTAATTATTTACTTGGTAATGGTTTCAGGACTAGAATATAGAAATATTACTTTATAGGAATGTTCTTTTAAAAACAAAGCGGGATAAGAGCATTAAGCGTAAATAGTGAAAGGTTACGCATCGCCAATCACCCCACCTGCTGACTCACCTGTGTTCGAGAACCATGCCCCCTTCTTTAAAGTTACAAAACACATGTCGATACAAAGACGCTATCCAAAAATTTTAAACGAGCGAAATACTATCAATCTACTATAAAATCGTCGAATAACTTTACCCACATTTAAAAAATTACGTAACAGACATAAACGGTGGATTATGCGATTTGCTTCGGTTTTGTTTATGAACCAAGCCCTTGAAAATAATGCAGTGTTTATAACGAACTTCAATAAAATTGCTTCTAAAGCCATTTCATTTTCATTCGTTCATGCTCATTTTTGTTATAGTTTTTAAAATTGTTTGGTTTTCTTAATCATATTTGAAGTGATTATTAAAAGTGATTAATAGTGGTACTTAATAGATACTTAAGAATAAAATGATTAAGCACCAATGACAAATTTTATTTATTTTATTAAAACATTTTTTTCTTAGAGTAAATAATATATATGTAATATAAAAAATTAAACTTCATTTTTCCGAGATTTGCTTTAAAAATCTCTTGACAGGCGGACAAAATAATGTAATAACAAATGCGTAACACATAAAATAAGGAGATAAAAAGGAACGATGCAGTAGTAGTAAGAACGATGTAGTATTATTGGTAAAATAAATATATAAATATTTATTTGTACTTTATTTAATATTTATTAAAAATTATAGTAACTTACATATCGAATTATATTTAATAAATAATACAGTACAGATCAAACATAACTTATTTGTAATATTCACATTAAAAGTAGAACTAAGATACATATAATAATTAGCTATAATTAATTACCACGGATGATTCTTATGTAAATATTGATCGCCACAACTGCAAGTTGCATTGCAAACCCCACGTTTGCATACGTCGGTGTATTTCTGAAGGGACTCGCAGTTTGAGTAAAAGTCTTTGACAGGACAAGAGTTGGAGCAAAGGTAACCAGATACGCAATGATCAGGACAATCTCCACAGGGTGTTCCAAGCTTGTATGGATATTGGATTATACTTTCGTAGTTTCCTCTGTAAACAACACAGCATTTAATAATTAATAATATTTATATTTAAATAAAATAACACATCACTTGTGGATGAGTTAAAGTTAATTTAATAATGTTTAACGACAGCACATATGTTCGATTGTGTACAAGCACAACCAATCACACAAAAAAGTATAATTTATTACATAATATACTGTATATATTACACAGAGAATTGAAAAGACCAGATTGACTGTAACCAAAAAATAGTAAATAAGATAATGATATTTATTATAAAAACGAAAACAAAAATCGCTAAATTCGTAATTTTTGTTACTTTTCGTATCATAATTAATATTTAGTTTTGATCTTAACAGCTGTGAAAAAAGGCAGATCAATATTTCAGTGTTGGAAGTAAATAAAGCTATACTCGTATGTACATATTAAAGTGACATGATTCTAGTGGTTTATGTAAAAATAACTAATATTTTGATAGTCATTGAAGCATATCAATTACAAGTCGCACTCGTAGTCAATTTAAGAAAAATATTTTAACTTATCCAAATTTTGATTACATAGAGTAAGGTTAACTCTGTTAAAACAGTTTTTTTAAGTTTTTTATTGATTTGAAAAAATACGGATGCAAGGTCTCCTTACAAGAAGTATAATGAATAGATTCCATCACGTATCTTATTTATGTTTCATATAACGACGGGTGTATTGGTAGAATTTAAAATATTGCAATTTACAATATTGTTTAACATAGAAGAACATAGATAGAAACTTTAAAAAAAATTAAGCCATGTGTGAAACAAAATTTTTTAAATGCAAAATAGCTTTCGGAAATGTAAGAAAAACAATAAAACAAGAATCGTATATAAAAATTATTAACGTTGAGACATATTAATACAAAAAGTTTTATAAGTATACGTAACAAAATTTATGTAGGTCAAGTCTACATTGTCTATACAAAAAAATATGCGCCGACAATAGTTTTTTTTTATTATAAAAACTGAGACCATGATTTGAAACTGTGTCAGTATATGTGCTAAAGTATTAGTAAACATTAGGTATATGTAATTTTCTCATACTATTCTGTTCTATGAAATTACTATTATGTAATAGGAATATAAATGGGACCTCCAAAGACCAATATAAAGTCACTTTATTTATTGATCTTCATTTATATTCTTCTATCGAAGGCTTCTATTTAAATTAACTAAACATTGTAAATCCAATATATTATATGTAGTTAACTTGTTGTAACTGACAATAGTTGTGTTATTTTTAGATACAATTTATAAGTATTATGGGAAAGTTTTTATATGAAAGATTAGTAACAATGCTAATTAATATGTAAATATCTCTGAAGTTTGGGTATTTTTTAAGACAAAAGAGAAAGGGTTCATTTTATTCTAATTTATTTGCTTATCTTATAAATATTAGTAGAAGTGAAATAATATGCAAAGCCTTCATACAAATGTAGTTAATTATGAGAATAATTTAAATTAAGTGTAGCTAGTTATATAATAAGTGACACTTACGTAGGACAGTAATGGCACACGTAATTGTAAAACTGTCCCCATGGTCCTCCAGAACATTTTGATACGCCACAGCCGAGTTTGTGGCTTGTGGCCCACATCATTTGTGTGTAATGACCAACCGCCTTCAGGTTACTTATGGGAGCTCCGTAAGTGAAATTCTGATACTCCAGGAACCAGTTCTTTATGGCAAAGAACCTACAAATTTTTTTATACTTAAAATATATACCCCTTAGTAAGTCTATGTATTAAATTAGAAAGCATTAAAATACAAATCATTTCAATTAAATATATAAATTTCTGGACTGTTCTTGGTAATTTATTGTATCAACGACTAATTCACAGAAAACATACTTTACAGAGAATTTTAAGCTGTTGTTTTCGGTAGTAAAGTTGTAAGAAATTTTAAACTTGTCCACAATGCGAGCTTTGGCGTAATGTTGAATAAATCATAAGGTTTCTTATAGTTACTATCTAACGATCGTAAAGACACGCCGCCTTATAAACAACATTCAATAGAATTGACGAAAGAGGACTGACTGCTGTTACAAAAACATAATTATAATAATGCATATTAACGATTTACAAAGAAATAATAGCTATAGCTATAAAGAGAAATGTCAAATATAGGTCATAGTAATACAACGTTGTTAATTAAATTGTTTTAAAATGCGCAATTTTTATATGTTCCATGATTTAGATTAAAAATAAGAAGCAATCTATTTGTAGCATGTCAGTCTTTTAAATCTGTAATTACATGTTCACGAAACCCTATTATGTACACGATGAGGTTAAAATCGTGACGCGAGTAGAATACAAGGGACGGACGAGGAAGCACGTGAATTATTCGTAAAAAATGGACTAAGTGTGTTCATTTACCTACTTTAATAATACAAGTATGTTGTATACGACTTTACTTTGTGTTAAATGAATTTTTCAAATTACTTATTTATAATTAAACTTAATTAAAATTCCGATTCGATATATCACAATGAGACGCAACGAATTTTTTATTTATACACGAATACTTGATTTTTGGAGTTAGGTATATATTTCAATGGAGTTCAATGAAACAATACTTACCAAGGAGTTTTATGTGATGACACAAAAAGATTTTGCCCGCAGCTTCCAAGATAAGGTACAGTGTTCTCGCTAGGATCGTTGTGTTGTAGGAATATGCACTTATCTGCATATATCTGAGCTTGCTTAGCGGCCAACGGATGCCACGACTTTGATACAAGGTTAAGTCATTAAAAAAGTTACACAACAAAACAACTTCACAACGAAGATAAAAAAAGATTATCAAACTTAACACCAACCATTAAAAGCATATTAGAAGCAGTTGGGCGAACTTTTGTTCGGAAAAAGTTGTGGTAGAGTACAATTTTCCGTCTCACAACTAATCTTCTTGGACTCAAGGCGTTGTCAGGAATTTTTGTTGAAGGGTAGAGTTCTGAAAAAATAAATTATTAGGTCACCTTCAGAAGTTAAAATAAATAAGCATTATAAGTACAACTTACGTTTATCGCTCCAAGGCAACGCGCTTTGTAATTGTAATATTAAATAAGACGCTAACAAAACTTGAAAGACATGAACTGTTCCGCTAAGCATATTGAGATTGTTTGAATCTGAAAAAAAACAAACAAATATAAAAAGATAAGAAATTAATCTTCATTTTGAAAAAAAAATATTGCATAGAAATAAAAAAGGATGTCTTTTTTAATGAAATAAAGAAAAGCGAGCAAGTAAATGAAATGAGTTTAAATGTTTTTCACTCCTTCTTTAGGGCGCTGTTAGAGAGTCAGCCTCTACAGAACTGCAAAAACTCATTCATATAATTAAATACGGTAATACGCAGTGCCCTTCAACCAACAATATAAAATATTAATTTGATAGTCAAGATCGCCTTATTAGAGAAAAAACTGTAATTTGAGCAATCATTACTTATAATGTTTTATTAGAATATGTTTTTATTTGCTAAAATTATACATATAAATGTATTACAACTACAAAAAGTCGAAGATTTGCTAGCAATATAGTGTAAATAAAAAGGTAATATATTAAATAATACGTCTGGTGCCGAAACTAAATCTGCTCAAGAATATTCAAGGCCAATGTAGAAGTTTTTGTATACCACAACTTAAAGATATGCATATTATCCACAAAAAACAACATAGGTACATAACTTCCGAAGATATGCGAAGGTGTATAAATTTAAGAATCAAAATATTATTCATTTCTATGTTGTATTAATGTATTATTCTTTATTTGCAACAAAGCTTTAACAAAGGAAAACAAACTTCGTCATGGTCTTTCTTTCATCCTTATTTCTCACAGGGTGTAATGACCTTACACATCAATACTTCACTTATTCACACATAAAGGAAAATAAAATATTTAAATAAAAAATACCAGGATAGCAGTAAACGACAATTGTAATAAATAAAGTATGTAGGTATTAAATAACGCAGTTATTTTTTTTATATTCGTATTGCTGACAATTTATTATGAAAACTATTGAAACTGCTTAAATATGAAGTAGTATTTAAAATTTAATATATAGACATATGTAAGTTTAAGATCAAATATGTCATATGTATCTTGAATCTTTTTGTAAGCCTCTTTATAATGTGATTATTCTTTTACGATTTGGGAAATATTCTCGTTTAAAATTTGAAATTTACCGTTATTTAATCCTTTTCATTTATGACATATGAATGAGTGTTAATCAATTAATCAAAAACAAATTAGCTTGAAATGTTTACCACTCAATTCATTTTATTATGTTATTAGGCGATAACACTTATTTTAGTTCCTAACATTTCGACAAAGTTCCTTATTTTTTATAACACAGACGTTTCATTTAATACTTTCAATAAGTTTAACTTTCAATTAATATTAATAAATATATAATAAATGTTATTGTTCGATTGAGGACAAACTAATAAAATTTTAAGTAGTTCATGAAATATATAACTCTAGGTACCGCGCTCCTAATTATTGAGAAATTGAGATCGGTACGCATCAGACCTATTTTGTTGGAGGTACAATAAAACTAGATCAAACCAAATATTTTACTGTTATCATTATTTTGTGAATAATTTTACCAATTTTTAAAACAATGAAGCACTTACCGAATGATTAAAGTCTAACAGGTTTTTTTTTAATTTTCTATCTCACCATAATTTTATAGTCAATAACTTATTATTATTTACATCGATATTCTCATATCAATAATTTAAAAATCTGTTACGCTAGCAACCGTGTCTTACGCGTGTAGGAGTTGAAATAAATCGGCGGCTGGGCGATCGTAGTCCGACTACGGAGTGAGGTCTCACATGAAATATATCATTAAACTAGCTACATTTCAATTAGATAAAGAAACTATTTAAATACAGTTAATATATCATTATTATGTAAATTCAAATCTGAAGTTTGTATCAAAATACATTTATATTTGTTGTCTTCCCTACCGAAGATGTCTTATGGTGGTAGAAAAAAATACAGGCAAAATAAAAAAAATCAATCCAGCGAAGTTTGAAAACATTATTTGTTTACAAAGTGTTGACTTATTCAATTAAAGTAAATCATAAAATGTAATAAAATAAAACTGTAACTGATTTATGAATTTATTAATTCAATACTTTAACTTACCTACGCAGTACAAGGCCATAAATATACATAAATGTATATACCAAAGTCTCAAAGAGAGATATAATATTATATATGCCTATATATATGCATACCGGCATATTATGTACATAAGGTGAAATTTCTATGATTGGCTTTCTAGTCAAGAGTAAAAGAAATCTGAACTAAAGGATGAATAATGCCTCAGTAGCTACATATTAGATCAGTATAAAGATAGCATATCAAATAATATTTGTTATTTATTGCATGTTTTACCTTTTGAGCGAAACTAAACAACATAGTCTAAAAAACTGCTTCGTATTTTATTAAGTTTTATTTTACCTAATTAAAATACTTAAGATACATTCATGTATCCTTTTATATTTTAATACATTGTTACTTTAACAATGGAACCAACTAAAAGATAACCAAAGTATGCCGAATCTGAGAAACAAAACAATAGTCTAAGATTTTCTTGTCGCTGACTTACGGTGTCAGGCATTTAGTTCTTATAAATATGTGTAAAAAGTTAGACAGAATTGAATATCATAATTATTTGGGTCATATTTTTATATTGTTATAAATTTGTATTCATCTGATTTGTTTTTTTACAGGACAGCTTAAATACTGAAATATTTGAGGTTTTTTCATTAAGAAAATAATGCAACCGTAAGAAAGAAAAAAATATCAAGAACTATAGATAGATATAAACTGTAATAAAAAAATATCTAAGAGTAAATAAAAGTAAATAAACTGGGTTCGATTTGAGTGAAGAACGATGGAGGTGATACAAATAATAAGAAGAATAAGAGGAAGAGTGATGTATAAATAATAGCATCGAAGTACTTAAATCAACAATAAAAAATCTAAAATTTATTTCTATGTCAATCATATATTGCAAAACCAGCAACATTCACTGATGCATTCAGTGGATCGTCCGGGTTACATAGGGCCAACTGTCTTTACTTTACAACGTACAAATAATTATTACACGAATTATTGTTTTCATTTACAGTTACTGTTTTTAGAAAGAAAGAAAGTTTTTATTTACAACCTTATTCTTAAGCGTAGGGTTGAATCTTACCCCTATCAAACACTTTTCAATCTGAAACTGTACGGAACTGTAATTCTGATAGTACTGAATATGGAATGACTTCTCTACAAAAAAAAATCCAGAGTTATAACATTAAAGTTTTCATAACAAGTATGTATACAAGTTTCTTATGAGTAATTCCTATATGTTGCGTTGTTCTCGAGCTACTTAACTTCATATGAAAATAAAACCCAAGTTTACTCAAGTTAAATGGCTAACACCAATATCAATATACTGTACTATTTCGATATAAGTACACAAAATATAATCGTCTTGACACTTTTTAAAGACTTATCATTTATTTTGCTATCAGTAAATTACGAATTTATAAAAAAATCAAAGTTCCCGGTCATTTTCATTTTCAAATTACTGTCGAATTCCACTGTTACTTTTAAATTTAATATTAACTTACCTTATTTTAGACGACTAATTACATAAATTATAATTTAAAACTTACTAAGACTTACTTAAAAAGAAATACAAATATTTATTGTTAAAACCGCAATATTTCGATAATTATTATAAATTTACACCTTATACCAAAAAACTCGTTAAATATTCTATCCCATATTCTCACGATGTAAGTCATTCAATTAAAATGGTTATTGATATGGTGTTCTATAAATTGATGCCTTGACGCCCACTTATAGCGTTATCAGTCTTAATAGCTAGAAGTGTTATAAGTTTCAATAAAATCGTAGATTTATTGCAAACATTTTTCAATTAAAATGCCTTAGCATAGGAATATAGGTAGACTAATGAATCATACTAAAATAATTTATGAAGAGGTATGAATGTTTGTTGCTCTTTCAAGCATAAACTACTTTACAGATTTTGATGATAATTTGCTGTATTGTAGGTTAGACATCAAAATAACACATAGCCTATGATAATTTATACTATACTTTCAAGTATTTTTCAAAAGTGACTAGGCATAGCGTAAGTTGTATTTTACATAATGCCAGGTAATTTGAATTGTAGATGTCGCCACCATCGTCGCTTTTATTTTAACACTGATACAATATACATTTCTCTCAGAGCCGAATTCTACAGTCCACACAGACAGAGTATACTGGGTAAACACTAGTTAGATACAACATTTCAATTCATTTTCTTAATATGAAAAAAAATGATAGCTTCTGGTGGTATATAAATGTTATAAACTCCCTGTACATTGCTATTTCTATCATAAGAAAGCTATTCAAATCATTAATAATTTTAAAAAGATATAGCTTTAACTAAAGATTTAAAAAAAAAATGTATAAAATAAATTAAAGAGTAATCAATTACTGTTATATGATTTGACTGTAGTAATATACTCAGTAAAATTAGATATAAAAATTTAAATAGCAATAGTTTATGTAAGTAGTTAATTAAATTTTTCGCTAAACTCGTTTCGAAAATTATAATTCTGTTTTCGCACAACACAGTCTAAATTAATGTCTTGATTAGTTATGCTGTAAAATACGCTGCCTATAACAAACAACATAGACATTCAAATATACTTTTCTGGCGACGTATAAAGCAAGTCCACGAATATTTGCATTTATTTAATAATAAATAGTTTATTATACCTTCAGAAATTAACAAAATCAAACTCTCTATCTAATTTCAACGTCAATACTAAAATCTCTTTAGCGCTGTCCCAACTAGCTTTGGAATTATCAGGATTTATTTCATGGGGCAACATGAGCTTTAAATAATACTGCGAAGAGTTGATTGTCACGCTGTTTTTTTCGACGGAGAGATCAACGTTCTCTTTCTTATCGCCCGGCATCTTAACCCTGACAATAAGGTTCTCGCAACTGGCCGAAGATGGCGTTTTGGGTCCCATCTGTAAATATAAAACGTCTACATTAGAAGAGAATAAAATTTTATGTTACTATGTGTGATGTTCTGTATTTATATCTCAGAATTATAAATAAAACCACCAAATTATCAGTAAGTAAATACACAACTCAAGAGAACGTTCTCCCGCCTCCGATGACAGATCGAAGTGCTAGTGACGCGCCACAGTTGATATGTGTACTATAATTTATTAAATGTCACATCTCTTCCTTTTTATATGTTAAATAATTATTTTAATCACAAGTTATTTCAATTTTAAATACAATTATTTAGAAACAACAAAGCAATATTTTCATTTAAATCAACAAAACAATATTTCTCATTTCAATGAACAAAACAGTATTTTTCATTTAAATCAACAAATCAATATTTTTCATTTAAATCAACAAAACAATATTTTTCATTTAAATCAACAAAACAATATTTTTCATTTCAATCAACAAAACAATATTTCTCATTTCAATGAACAAAACAGTATTTTTCATTTAAATTAACAAAACAATATTTTTCATTTAAATCAACAAAACAATATTTTCCATTTAAATCTATCTATTATTAATTAAGCATCTTTATCAGAATTTTCTTCATTACCAATTACTTTCCATTGACCTTCTACTTTCTTGAGGTGAACTATATTTCTCCTATATTCCTGGCCTGTTTCGTCATTCCTGACATTTATGTCGCTTCCCTCGGCACTGATAACAGTATTGGTGTCGGATTAAATTCAGAAGCTAATTTATTTTCTTTTATTACATTCTTTACATAGACTTTCTCGCCAACTTCTAATTCTCTTTCTGTAGCTTTCCTCTTCCAGTCTTCATTTAATTTATTTTACTCTTTTTTTCTCTTTATCTCGGTCTCTTATTTCCGAATCATTATATTTATTTTCAAGGTCAGTTAAAAAAAAGGTAACTTGTCTCTGAACTGTCTTCCTTAAAACAATTCGGACGGGGTTTTTCTTGTGTAAGGGTGAGATATGCTGTTATACATCATTAAGTAACTTAATAAATCATCTTTCCAATCAGATTTTCCACATTGACTGATCTTTAGTCGCTTAAGTATATCCCTGTTTTGCCTCTCTACCAAACGGGGACATTTTGCTGTGGCCAGTAAGGAATTGTATTGAAAAGTGTTATGCCATGTTCAGTGCAGAGTTTTTTAAAATCTTGGCTACAGAATTGTTTCCATTATCGGCTGTTATGTGTCATGAGCGGAAATAGATTTCATAGGTTCAATCTCTTTGTATCGGCTGTAATAGTCGATAGCCTTTTCATGGGTATTGGTGGGTTTGAGGCTGAGACTAATGTACATCCTCTGCATTTTTTATAGTACTTTCGGCGTCTTTGTCAATCTTTGGCCACCAAACCTTTGTGCGCAATCTAGCTTTCATGTTAACAATACCAGGGTGGTCTTCGTAGGCTGCTGCTAATACTTGTTTTCTCAGTTTAGTTGATATAACAATTTTGTTCCCTCTGTTTTTTATCAAAGCGTCCTTAATCAATTTGAATTCTTTGTCATCATTCGATGCTTCAACTATTGATTTAAGAGATAATGCTGTGGGTCGCGCATATTGAACAATTTGGTTATAATGATGTTTGTCTTCAAAAGAACTTGTTTGCGTCTCGTTAGTACTACTTTTACACAGACGGTATAGTGGGTCAGCAACATATAGCTACAGAGCTAATACAATATCGTTTTTCGACATTTGTCAGACTCTTACTTCCAAAAGCAATAATACGAGGTTGTTATCAGAATGAATTAGTACAGCCCCTAAACCTACAGGACTTGCATCAGTCATAACTTGGGTACGTCCTTTCGGATCATAATAACCTAGGGTAAGAATCTTAGAGAGGCTATATTTTAATTTCTCAAAAGCCTTTTCTTGGTCTTTTGGCCAAAATGCCGTGATATTGGCGTTTTATGAAACTTTTTCGCGTAATAATTGCCGAATAGGTTCTGTTGAGGTTGACAGATTGGGGATCAACTTTCCCACAAAGTTAATTAATCCCAGGAAACTCTGGATTTCTTCGATGGTTTCTTGTGGTCTATATGTCTCAATTGTTTTAATGTATTTGTCAAGTGGTTTAATGCCTAATGACGAAATTTCGTGACCTAGGAATTGTATAGTATTTGCATTTAAACACATTTTTTTTTTTTATTTAATAAGACATTGTTGTATTTTAGCACTGACAATACTTTTTTGAGCCGGGTATCATGCTCATTTTCATCACGCCCAAAACAACGATATCATCTATAAAATTTACAACTCCTTCACATGGCAATAATATTTTTTCCCATAATTTTTGGAAGTGCTCTGGTGCGCAGAATGTGCGTGAATTAATTGTTCTATCGTGGGCAGGGGATGATTTTCCTTGATGATAGCTTTATTGGCAAGTCGCATATCCAGGCAAATATGAATATCATTATCAGGTTTTAGAACCGCTACCATCGAAGAAACCCAAGAGGATGGTTTGTTTACAGGTTCAATTATGTCCAATTCTACCAGTTCATCGATTTTTTATTTATCTTAGATTCCAAAGGAATAGGAACTCGTCTATAAGGTTGGCAAACTGGAGGAACCGTTTTGTCTTTAGTAATTTCTATTTGGACATCTTTGAACTTGGGAAATTGTTTTGTTCAATTGAATTTATATCAAAACCTAATTTTAACAAGTTAAGGGAGATAGCAGTTTCTTTACCCAAAAGATTTTGGAACCATTTACTATAGTACAAAATTTAGCAGTTATTGATTTAGAACACACTTTTATTTATGCATCAAATAAGCCTAGCACTTTTAGTGGTTCTTTAGCACCGTAGGCTAGAACGGTTTTGTCTGAATATTTTGTGGATTAGAAACTGTAACATTCTATTTTTTCATGTACTCCCAAGTTGTATCGTTTATTATAATAGATTTATTACTGGAATCTATGAACATTTTGATATTCACCCCTCCTACTTGACAGTCAACAGTTCCATCATCATCGATGTGAAATATGTAGTCTATAGACGTAGGCTCTTTATTTTGGGTGTATCTTGTTTGTACTTTTTAATAATATTGTTGTCATTTGACCGGAGATTAGTATTTTTTCTTTTATTGGCCCTTGTTGTTTTATTGTACAGTGATTCTGAAAGTGACCTTTGAAACCACACTTCAAATAATTAGTATTACAGGGCAGGAACTATTATTTTGTGGTTTTTACTACCACATCGGCTACAGCTTAGATCAATGTCTTTTTTCATGTAGCATTTGTTTGATTTAGTATCTATTTTATTGATACTGGAAGTAGTGTTTTGTCTATCGTGGAACTCATTTAATTGTCTAACTTTTTTACTGCCATGTCATAACCGTCAGTTTTGTCAGTAACATGAGCTCTAGGTATGTTAAAATATATATATATATATATATATATATATATATATCTTGTAATGGCATGCCTCCGGCATGTAATAGAATTTCACATTTTTTATTTTGATAATTTGAGTTTAAATAACAAAATAAATTTCTTATTTAATTAAATTACTTTTCTTATTTACTACAAAGTAAGTTTCTTATTTAATTAATTAAATTTCTAATGCATGTTTCATCTCTCCCAACGCAAGCTTAAGGAGGTTGGATCACCTTCACAATTGAATGGTTCTATTGTCGGGACTTGTGTTAGGGACATGTTGGATGATCTGCAAATGAGGTCAAAAGAAAACCTCTTAAGTATATTAATGTAGTGCAGAATATATTTATTATTATTTTTATATACCAGTCAGTATTAAGTGAATAACAGGATTGTTTTTTTTTTTTTATTATTATTATAAATAAATAAATAAATCACTATTGTTTACTTTAATCACTATGATAAACAATTAAAACTATGAAATTAATAAATATGTTTTAAAAATTAAAGCTTAAAATTTATTTATATTTGTATAGTAATTAAATTAATTAATACTAATTAAATTGAATTATTTATTAATTGGATAATATTTTGATTGTAAATGTAATTTCATAGTTAATTTATAATAAATTAAGTTGTTACTAACATAGGTATAAGGAAAATGTGTACTAAAAAGAAAAAGATGGGTCAAAGATGCCTAAATAAATAAAATTATTATTATTATTTAATATGTTATGTTATTATTAGTATTATTTTTTTTCTTTTTGTGACAACAACAATTATTTTAACTTGAAACCGTTATCTCATTATATTTAATTTCCAGATGGTTTTAAAACAGTCAGTTAGTGTATAACGATAGACATATGTATAAAGAATGTATTATTTATTCTTATAGGGTCTCATTTGATCGAATCAAACTTGATTAGCTTTTTGTTAAAGCAGGTACTTTATGAAATATATTCATCGGAACATTTAGTTACATATTTAATTGAATTATATATTCAATGGTACTTTATGAAATATATTCATCGGAACATTTAGTTACATATTTAATTGAATTATATATTCAATGGTACTTTATGAAATATATTCATCGGAACATTTAGTTACATATTTAATTGAATTATATATTCAATGGTACTTAATGAAATATATTCATGGAAACATTTGATTATTTTATCGAATTATATATTCGATGGTACTTAATGAAATATATTCATGGGAACATTAGATTATTTTATCGAATTATATATTCGATGGTACTTAATGAAATATATTCATGGAAACATTAGATTATTTTATCGAATTATATATTCGATGGTACTTAATGAAATATATTCATGGAAACATTTGATTACTTTATCGAATTATATATTCGATGGTACTTAATGAAATATATTCATGGGAACATTAGATTATTTTATCGAATTATATATTCGATGGTACTTAATGAAATATATTCATGGAAACATTAGATTATTTTATCGAATTATATATTCGATGGTACTTAATGAAATATATTCATGGAAACATTTGATTACTTTATCGAATTATATATTCGATGGTACTTAATGAAATATATTCATGGAAACATTAGACTATTTTATCGAATTATATATTCAATGGTACTTAATGCAATATATTCATGGAAACATTAGATTATTTTATCGAATTATATATTCGATGGTACTTAATGAAATATATTCATGGAAACATTTGATTACTTGATCGAATTGTATATTCGATAGGTATTGGTAAATAGAATTGGTCAACGATACATATAGGTTGTAGTAATTTCAGTTAAGTATTTTCAAACAACGCATTTGCTAGTGTATTATTACTACGGTTCTTTTGAATGTAAATAATATGAAAAAAATAGATTCAAACAGTAAATACTCAGGGAGCATTATTTAATAATGTTTACATTTCAATTAGAGGAAATCATATTACGCATACTAATTTTGTTTATACGACTTTGACGTATTTTCAACAAATGGGTGTATCGGTAATTAACATATAATAACTTATTCATGCATCTACGCAGCATAAAAATCAAACCATATGTAAATATGTAATTTTTCATTGCGTTGTTTTAAAATCCTTTTTGTTCCTTTTTCAAAACTTTGTGAAATTTTAAACTTTTGTTGGCCGAAATTCTATTTACAGGTACATAATTTACTTACTGCGCTTTTTACTCGTCGCCAATGTGATGTTCTGTATTTATATCTCAGAATTATAAATAAAACCACCAAATTATCAGTAAGTAAATACACAACTCAAGAGAACGTTCTCCCGCCTCCGATGACAGATCGAAGTGCTAGTGACGCGCCACAGTTGATATGTGTACTATAATTTATTAAATGTCACAATGGAAACATTAGATTATTTTATCGAATTATATATTCGATGGTACTTAATGAAATATATTCATGGAAACATTTGATTATTTTATCGAATTATATATTCGATGGTACTTAATGAAATATATTCATGGAAACATTTGATTATTTTATCGAATTATATATTCGATGGTACTTAATGAAATATAATTATGGGAACATTTGGTTATTTCATCAAATTATATATTTGATGGTACTTAATGAAATATATTCATTGGAACATTTGGTTACTTGATCGAATTGTATATTCGATAGGTATTGGTAAATAGAATTGGTCAACGATACATATAGGTTGTAGTAATTTCAGTTAAGTATTTTCAAACAACGCATTTGCTAGTGTATTATTACTACGGTTCTTTTGAATGTAAATAATATGAAAAAAAAATAGATTCAAACAGTAAATACTCAGGGAGCATTATTTAATAATGTTTACATTTCAATTAGAGGAAATCATATTACGCATACTAATTTTGTTTATACGACTTTGACGTATTTTCAACAAATGGGTATATCGGTAATTAACATATAATAACTTATTCATGCATCTACGCAGCATAAAAATCAAACCACATGTAAATATGTAATTTTTCATTGCGTTGTTTTAAAATCCTTTTTGTTCCTTTTTCAAAACTTTGTGAAATTTTAAACTTTTGTTGGCCGAAATTCTATTTACAGGTACATAATTTACTTACTGCGCTTTTTACTCGTCGCCAATGTGATGTTCTGTATTTATATCTCAGAATTATAAATAAAACCACCAAATTATCAGTAAGTAAATACACAACTCAAGAGAACGTTCTCCCGCCTCCGATGACAGATCGAAGTGCTAGTGACGCGCCACAGTTGATATGTGTACTATAATTTATTAAATGTCACACTATGTATATCCCTACATGATTATTGTCTTAGCATTTTACCAATTGAGGTAGTATTAATAAATTTATTTTTATAGTCTAAGCCTCATTTACTTACTTGCAAAAACACGTCCTCAGCAGAAACAGATTGCTGGTAATTCATTGTATACTCAGGAGTTTTTCGATCGCCTGAACCAAAACCCACTTTCCCCATGTTTTCAGCTTCTTCCGCTTCTTGTTGTTCAAATTCTTCAATCGTTTTCGGGGTTTTTGGAACGTCTAGGTTTAGAGATGTTTTTCCATCCCTGTTTGAAATAACTTCATAGTCTGTAATTATGAAAATGAACAAGTTTTATTTAAGACAGCGTTCATTATTCAATGGAAAAAGAAACTTGAAAAAATTACTTGTAGCTGGAAAATCCTCTCCTTGTAAGACCTCAGGCTCTGGTGCCCTTAAGAGGTCAGCCAACTTCTCCATTTGAACTGCTGTAAGATCCATATTGTTTATTATTATAACTTATTTATAAATATGTGTTGATAATTAATGAGGCTTCAAACAACCAAAATGGCTGAATGTCAAGATTATAATTATTGATTCAACAACATTGTTTATCAATCATGTGCTGGAGATGGTTGCCAGGCAACTGTTTTTTTTAATACAATATCTTTTATGATCAAGTAGGTCTACATATCTTATAATGCCCATACATGGCTAACAACAAGACTCATTCTTATAAAGAAGTTTATTTGTAAAGTGTAGTTGTGAAGATTATTTGTAAAAAAAAAAATTGATAATTATTTTATGTATGTCTAAATGAAAGAGGAATAATTAATTAAATTTTATTTCAGCAATCTATATATGTATATAAAATAGACACAAAAAATTAAATAAATTTAAGGAAAACCATCATCATCTTCTTCAGCCATTTCCTTGGCCAGTTCCAGGTCCTGTTGTTCTCGTTCCCGTCTTTCCTCGGCACTCTCTAACTCTTTTCCATAGGATTTTGGAGGATATCTCATTGCTTTAACACTCTGATTGTGTAATTCGAGACAGAAATAAATACGCTGGTGGAAGGCCAACTGCGGTTCTCTGGTACAATATATATCAGAACTCTCTTTGTTACTCATGTACCCCTTTTCTGGGTCAAGTGTAGCTTCAATAACTCCGTCACGAATAGCTTTAGCTACAATAAACTCAGCATCTTCGGCAGAGTCTAAGCCAAGTTTGCGAGCAATATCCTTTGGAGATATCCGGGAATATGAGAGTCCAATTGAACGGATGGCTGTCTTAATAACATTTTGACGTAAACGGAGGATTAGTGTGAAAGTGTGGTCATTACGAAATTGTGGCCCATAATTTTCTAGGACCTCTCCAAATCGTTGCAAATTTCCCAGTCTTACTGCCTGGGTAAGTTGGAAATATGGTGCTAATGATTTCCTCAGTGGGGCTTGACGGAAAATAGCACGTTCTGGAATATCTCCCAACAATAGTTCAACAACAATTGCTAACTTCTGAACAGTCTGACGGAACCCTACAGCTGCAGTTTGTGGAGCTTTACGTAATGCTTGAACTAAATGTTTATGAGCATCACTATATTCAAGTCTTGCAGCTTTAATTCTGCCAAGATAATACAAAAATCTTGCCCATTCATTATTACTTGCATTTTCTGGAAAAACTGATTTACTCACTAATTTATCTGCTTGCTCATACAAGGAGTAATGCAAGTAATTTCTTAACAGACAGTTAATTAACACTGCCTGGCCCTCATAGTCACTTCTCAAGGTAGATGTGCGAAGCCTTGCATGTAACAATCCTCTAATAAAGTCCAATTTGTTGTTCAGTTCAAACACCATGGAATGGTAAAAATAGCATTTAGCAGCAATCAAATCTAAAGTTCTGCGATTCTGGACGACAATTTTATTCATAAGTTGCTGGGAGCATTCTACGGCTTCTTCTAATTTTTTGGTATCCAGTAAGCGTAGTAACACAAGCAAGTGAATATAAACATCGACCTCTGGCACTGGTTGTTTTGGTGCACTTCTAGAGCGAGGCGTTTCAATTTCCATTGCAGTGGGTAAGGGATTTTCGACAAAGGACATTAAAGCCTCTTTCTCATTGCCAGCAGGATAAAGTTGGTTTATAATCGCACGAAGAACATTACCATTAAGCTTCCTTCTGGTACTGGGAAGAGATCTTAAGACTCGCATAGCAAATCGGGGCTCCTTAGATGAAACAGCTTTGTCAATTTGTCGAACATGTTCTCTTAAATCCTGAACAGCGAGAACATCGACATCTTTTTTAGTATCACTAGTTTCGTCGGAACCTGCGGCTGCTGGGCTGTCTACACTCTTCATTTCCACATCTTGTTCCACAGGAGCCATTATGAGAAGAAATATAAACACCTCTTGATTATTATTTGAATTATTGTTACCAAGCTAATGACTTCCAATTTCTAAAATCACTAAAGATTGACTTCTGTCAAAAATATGCCGAGTAACTTTAGTCGTTGTTAATACAAAAATTATATATGGCAATATTTTTCTTATTGATCAATGATTAAAGACACATGTGTCATTTATTTATGATAATATTAAATTTAATACAAGAAACAACTTTTCAGATTATTTCAATATAGTTATATATTTTTACTATTTTTCATTTCAACTAAACATACATTGTTAAGACGCATAATGTATCTTTCTTAATGAAGTGCTTTCAAATTAGCATAAAGAAAATTTAAAATTCGTATTTTTAGTTTATTTCAGATAAAATAATCGATAATATTTTTATTAACAGATATATTCAATAGTTCGTTTGGATATTCAGTCATATTATAATTTTTAAAATTTCTCTCTAAACATTCCTTTATTTCACATATATGATCTCAAATATATTTGATGGATAACTGCTCTATAAGATTTTTTATACTTGTATTAAAATATTTAAAACAAGCAATATTCTCTAAACCGTGAGATTTTTATGATTGTGTATTAGGGGCATAATCTTTTAAACACATTTTTCTTATTCTTACATATTATTTAATGTTTTTCTGACTTAATATGTAGACATTCTGGATTTAATTTTCTGATCCAATGCAATGGTATAACCGATTTCGCGGCAATGTCAATAGACGTGTGTTCCTAACTTTATTAAATTCTTCTGACAAAGACAACATAAAACTACGTCTATATTATAAACAAAAAACGTTGTTATAAAAATAAAAATTTAAGCTAGAATATATTAAAAAGGGAGATTAAAATACATATAGATTTAAAAAGGATTTGTAAAAAAAAATAGGTTTTAATAAAAACAAGTACAAAGTAAATTTACTTCATTAATAATAGTAGTAAAAAAATGGATATTTTCTACATTTTCTTAATTGTTATAAGACATGTAAATAGTAAGATTTGAGGCAAATATTGAAAGCCTCAACGTGTGTAACGTTCAATGTTGTCATCTATTTCTTTTTTCCATAGACTATAGACGAGACAAAACTACTAGCAATGCTCGTAGTTGCTTAACCAATATACTGTTCAAGTGAAATAGTGATAAAAAGCATAGAACAGTTTTTATTACTAATGTTACATTCGAAAAATTTTGGATTACCAAATTTTCATCATAATCAAAGTGAGTGCCTAAAATAATAAACGAGGAAGGCACTACGGTCACAGGGGACCGGTTATTTCTTTTCCTAAAATATCAATGTGTTCTGGAAATGGTTTGCAAAGAGGACGTGGTATCATGGTTTAAAGAATTGGAAAGCTATAAACGCATAGACGCAATGTGTACATTATTAAATATGTGCTTACCATTTGAACTACGCTTTATTGGCACGTATCTGGAGGAACTCGGTAAGCGAGACTTTCAGGAGTTGCGTGGTGCCGAACTAAGAGCCAATAACCCTACAGATCTTGCTGCAGATATAGGAGGAGCTGATACAGATTCAAGAACTCGACGGAAAATGGCTTTATACGTTTCATTATTGCGGTCTTGTAATTTTGCTTGTGCAACCACATTGTATAATGCCATGGTCAGTTTAGAACAAAGTGGCCTTTTGAAAGGCTTGTATGGTGATCTTCTTGAAGAGATTCTCTTACTGTATACTATGGCGTTACACCATCCAGCGTTCACATTCGATCAGAAGTCACATTTTGGTGATATATTAGAGAAGCTTAAGATAGAGGATCAAAGGATACAGTACCAAGAGCAGCAAGAGCGTTTGAACCTAGCTCCTGTTAGTGGTTGTCATACACAGGCTAGTATCACTCCAAATATGTCAGTACCACCACCAAACTTGCCAAGCTTGGGACCACCACCGGGTATCATGTTTGTTAAAACATCTAGTGTGCAGGTCAGTATCATCAAAAATACTTATAAGTAAACATACCAGTGTTTCATGCATTAATTTATCATCAGTTAAGTTAGTACAACCTTTATTCCTAATCACTAAAATCATTGTTCGATTTATCAATTATACACTAGATCAATAAAAAACAGTAACTCTTATGTCATTTAAATTAATTAACCATTATAAATGATCTTAATCAAGGAATTCATTTGTCACAATATATTATATTTTTTATTTTATTTATCAATACAAAGCTTTTGCTTGTATAATGTGTGAGAGATTTTGGCTATCATAGTTTGTAAAAACAATGAATATTTACAATTTTATATTTATTATAAAATAACTGGTGTATATAAATAATAAGATATTTCTAAAAATAAACTGATTATTATTATTATGTACACAAAAGTATCTGATTTTATTGGGTTTAAAAGTATGACTGTCCATTATCATGTAATAAATGTGTTCTATTAAGTTTACATGGATTTGTTTGTTGTTATATTAATTTTTCTTACAGCCTCCAAGTTCTGATGCTATAGCCGAGCTCAGTTCCCCTCCAGTGTTGACGGGGGCTGGTGGTGTGGTTCCCATGCTCGGGGAAGTACCGCACCCCCCTCCAGGTCTACCTATACCGCAATACAACATAAATGAATTCATAGGCCAGCACACTTGGCCGGCAAACATAATTGTTTCACCTCTCAATCAACCGCTTGAGGTAATATTCTTATTATGAAATATTGCATATTATGCTATGATATAGTATGAATAATGTAACTTAAATTATGTGTTGGTAATTTTAAACATAATTTAATACTTATTTATTAATTAGTAAGATATAATATATAAATGCTGTTCTTATATTTGTGATACAACATTTATGGGTCAAAAGTATAATGTGAATATATCTTTATTTTGTTTGCAGTTATTTAAAATGATGTTAATAAATCCAAAATGCATTCAGTGTACAATGTACTAACAATAGTCATAGTTGAATTTATTTGATATTTTATATTTTAATCATACAATGAGTAAGAGAATTCCATTTAGATATTAAAAATTACTAACCATTCGTTTAAGAGAATCCAAAGCCATTTCATAAAACTTATACAAATTGTTTCACTATATTCAACTCAGGGATTTTTTAATAACTATGATTTAGCTATTAAAGTTTTTAGATCTTGCTATTCAACATGGATGGTAGAATTTAAGCAAGTTACCTAACTCACTATCTTATTGACAACCTATTATCTACCTATCTCCTCTTGTAATATAACCTGTGACCTGCACTTTTCCAGGTGTTAAACTTCCAGACTGCTGGAGGCGTGGCTCCTTCGTCACCGCTGGTGTCTTCTCCAGGTGACAGCCGTGCAGCGTCACCACGAAGTCGCAGGCGTCCATCTCGTGACCGATCACCCCCACTAGTGCCCATCCCGCCTGAATCTATGCCTCATCTCACCACAAACTTTGAGAATCTTGCCGTAGCCGATGTAGGTTTATTTAGCAATGTATTATTTTTATTAAATTTTATTTAGGTTTAGTTAGTATATTACATTTATATTATGTTATTCTCTGCAATATTGTGTCTATACCAGTATGACATAGATACAAAGATATGAAGAGTTTATTTATATATTAAGTTTATCGATAGTCATTACTAGGAATTATTTATTAGTTTTTGTCACTTCTATAAGTCTCAGGGCAAACTTAGAAATATTAATTACACCACAAGAGAACATTCATAGATTTGTATTTCATAAAATTACTATTGTATCAATATATGTTACACTCTGACCCAATTTGATAATAGTAACATCAAATTATAGAGGTTATAAAGTTTTCTGTCTAATCATCTTTGTGATAGTGACGTGCACTTCCTTTTATTGTTTTTGAATATCCATTTCAGTGGAAATTGACACAATATTTTCGATTCTGAATTTGAATATATTTTTTTTATAGATGCGACATAACATTGGGGAGGAAAGACTTCGTGAAATCACACACCATCAGTACCGGTCGTTGGAGAAATTGAATGGTGTGCGGAGGCGAGCCGGGGCTTACTGTCCGCCTACACGTTCGTCGTCCGACAGTGGTTCCAGCAACGGGTCTTCACCTCCGAGCACACCGGCAGCACCGCGACGTGTGACGCCGTCTGCGCCGCCGCCTGTACCTTACCTACCTTACCCTCGCCCGTACCCTTACCCCACCCCTCCTCCCGCCTACCGCCCTCCCCCACCGCCATTTGCGAACGGGGAACCCCCGCCATATCCCGCACCGGCTCCATACGCCGGTTACATGCCTGTGTTGTACGCACCACCCAAGCTATCATGTTGGAATTGCGGCGCATCTGGGCACGCTGGACATGAATGCAAGGAGCCTAGCCTCGAAGAGATGACGCGGGCTGGCGGATATCAGCTCGACTTCGGCGGGGCTCCACCACCTGAGGCGGGGGATAAGTAGGGTTTAAGAGACACCTTCATCTCACAGCTCTGGCCGGGGTGAGTGGAAGGACCCTCGAATGTGTCTCGGAGTGGGTTGAGGTTTAAAATGACCCAAGCCGGCCCTGACCCTTGCGTTTCGCAAAAGATAATGATTTCTTGTAAAAATAATTCAGTAAGTGTACATCGTTTTAGTGTAAAGTGCGCTTATCGGGAATATGTGTTAGAGAATGTTGACCTACCGTGGGAAAGAATGCACTTTCAAACATTCAATTCTCGACAATCTTGTAACATAATATTAATTTCATATGTTACGTAAGCTATCTGGGAACATTTCATTTCACTTTACGTAATAACCAACAGATTTTTGAATCGACGAGGAGTTTTATGTAAAAAGTGTATGAAGTACAAATATTTTATGAAATTGAAATGTATAAGTTATTTGTACAGATATTTATTCAGTCTTGGTCGAGACATTATGGTTGGATTGAAAGTGTAGTGTGCTTACGGCTGTATTTGTTTAAAGGAATTTAGAGGGAATTCCATATAAAAAAGAGAAACGAAAAAAATAATATGACGACAAGACGTATCATTATGATATTTTAGTTTTTTTTGTTGTTTTATGTGCCATGGCCTCTAAAATTAATCTTAACAAGACCATTGGGTAAAAACAAAAAACCTTAAGTACAAATTATTGAATTAAATTGTGTTAGATGGAACCTGTAAATAAGTAGTCCAAATATGAATTGGGCGCATAAATGGGATTCCCTGTAATGTGAATTATCCAATCTAAAATCAGTGTATGTTGACTATAAAGCACTTAGTAACAAATTCAAAAATTATCTGACTGATATTGCTAATGAATTATTTCCTTTGATCCAAGACTGATTTGTAAAGTTCCTGGTTTTAACCGGGGACTGTATTGTCAATCATTATGGATGGAAGTTACAAAATCACGGAGTAATGGTATAGAATTCTGGAGTGACTAAAAATATCATGACTGAATACCTGAATATGTATGTATTATAAATAATAAAAGTATGAACAAGGGATTATTTTCACCATGCTCATGATAATTCAATGCTCTTAGAATATATTAATGTAATAAAGTCATTGTAAATAAATTAAAGATGTGTTACAGTATAAAACACATGACCGATGTGACCATATCTTGTAAATAGTCCCCTTTATATAATTAATAGTTATTTAGATTGAGTATATTTGTGAATTTCTTTGTAATTTGAGTGTCCCATAGAGTTATTGATGTTTATATGATCACTGTCACAAATCACAATTCTGCATTTTATAAAAATCCCAGTTTTGAACAGTTCAAATTAGGAAGGTTGTATAATTTTTGCATAATTATATTTTTTTAATTGAGTCAAATGAATCACGCATAGGTGGGTCCTACGGCTGATTAAATACTCCTATATGAATTAAATAATATTGTACTGTGTGATCATCTTTTATTAATACATTAAGATCTCCTTAGTTCAATCTATATATAGCCGACATGGATTTAGACATTGTATTTTAATCGACAGTTCATAAACTTTGTATATAGTAATATAATTTTATAACTTGATAATAATTATTAGTAATAGTGTTTGAAAATTAATAAATCAATAAATCGTTTCATTTTGCCCTTTGATGTGACTTACAGTTATAAGCTGAATCGCGAGGGTCTTCTGATAAAAAAAAAACTATGACTCCTTATAAAGGTTGTATGTCCACGTTACTTTACATTGTGTTATTTATGAATTAACAATTTTATTGATATTTGAATAAATTAAAATATAGATTAAATGTAGATGGAATAACATTTGTATTTTTACAAGAATACCTCTGTAGCTAACTAGTGGAATTTTTCCACATATGTTTCGACATGTTTACTAAGCTGCATAACACTGTCAAATGTGGCTTTATTCACACGTGTCACAAATGAAATAATTTCCTTTGAATGTTGATGACTAATAAATGAGTTGGATAATACATTAAAATATCAAATGAATGCATAAACCCGTCCATCATAGTTAATTTTAATGCCGTTTATAATGGCATTGTTTAGATTACAATACGTGTGACTTAATACTTGTCTATGAATAAATGTTTCAAAGGACTATCGTACTGCATGGTTTTAATGAAATTCTACAAAGTTATCCAAACATTATTCTGTACTAGTTGAAGTATAAAATATTTTTTTACTTTGTACAGATGTTATGAATGTGATAAATAATTTTTAACATTAGCGTTTGTGATTTAGTCAAGTGTGTAGTTTACTATAAAGGAATGTGGCTTTACTAAATAATATGTACTGTGACCTACAGCGATGTATTTGTAACTTTTTTCTTCACTGTTTTGTATTTCGATACTTATAAAATGCTGTTGTATTATGTTATAAAAAAGTGATCAGCATTTCAGTACGTGTGGTTCGGCCTGATTTTATAGACCTCTGTATCCCACCAATGCTGTGAATCGTTTGCTTCCTGAGAAATAAACAACCAAAATCTCTTTATTTTTTCTTTTTATAACCTCTAGAATAGAAATATAATATTGAAAATACACTTAGTTATTTAGCAACAATAGGTAAATTCAAAAGGGGAGATGTTTCTATACATTTTATCACAAGATGTATTGGAGTTTATATCTATTATGCCTAGTTGAAGCTGAAAATGAAATTTTAGTAAATGTTAATACATAAATTTATTTTTACAAATAACTTAAAATTATTTAGAATTAGCTTAACCAGATTATATTTATGTGAATATAAATATATATATTAGTATTTGGTAAAAGGCTTATGACGTTAAGCCTCAAAATTAAGCGATTTATGAGGTATATTATGACTAATTAATTCGTTTTATTATGCATGAGTTAATATTATTAATGTCATATCATTGAGATTAAAAATTTGTTTGTGGTTTATCATACGGTCAGACAGCAAAAAATAATGGTACAAACACTTGAATACACAGACAGTTTAACATAGTTTTCGATTTTTTTAGGTTATTTTTTATTAAAAATTAAACAAGGTACATAGATCGATTTATTAAAAAAAAATGAAGTTTTCTAATGATTGAAACTGATTACAGGATTGTTGTGGTTTATTTATTTATTTTATTCTTTATTGCACAACATACTAAAACTAAAAAAAAAAATACATTTTCGTTATATATTGTACTTGTATGAGGTGCAACAGGCGGCCTTATCGCTGAGCAGCGATTTCTTCCAGGCAAATTGATGTGGTTGTGGTTTATTGATGTTCAGTAGAATATAAATTAAACATATTACACACACAAATAAAATCGGAAAAAACAGAATGTAGGCCAATGCAAGCTTGTTACTACAAACGACAGATGTCGCTGTATGTTACACAAGATACAGTATATTATATTAAAATTTTTGTGAACAAATTATAAATAATGATAATTTAAACGACGTCAAAAGATAGCCAACCGATCAGTTTCAAAAGTCACCGCAACTTTGTTCCGCAATTTGGTGGATTCTTAGCAAAAGGGTTACTATAAGTTGGCGAACGGGGAATAGAAACGGGAAAATAATGGTCATACCTATCACGATTGGCAATTTTGGTGAAAGTTATAGTTAGAGCTCAGAAAGCAGTAATCGTCTCAGACATAGGCCAAAAAAAGTCGATTCTAAGGATTTGTTTAGTGCCATCTAATAAGCTAATCGGGACTTATCAGGGCTGAGGAGCTTTTGAATTGAATTGCCACAACGATGAATTATAAGCAAATAATAACTATATAGCTCAACGGCCAGGCTGGTGCGGTCGATTAAAGATAAATAAATGTACCTACAATTGAAAATTGTCCATGAAAAACGATAGGACGAAATTTAGTAACAAAATTTAAAAAAATGAGGAACAATACTACCTTAGGATTGCCTGACCACCAACTATGAGTGTAGAATAGTTTGAAAAATGATTAGTAATTTTCAGACAGTGCTTGCGACAATCCACCTAGCGAGTAACAGTGGCGACCACACCATAGATGCAAAATAAGCACTGCATACGCTACCTATATAACAACTGAACCTATATTTTAATTCTTACTTACATACTTTTAATCATACATTACGAAATAAAAAATGTTAACAGACATTAAAAATACATTTGATTCATCTTCTATATATACAGTATGTTAACTAACAGTTCACGTTCCCGTTAATCCGCAATAATGTAGCATCCATACATGCTAAAAAAAATATTACCAATCGAAAACAAAATGATTTTATTTTTTTTTATTTAAAAAAGATCATTAAAAATATTAAATTTACATGTAAAAGAAACATCACGCATATTTGAAGAACGGCAACGTCGCAATTTACTCATACATAAAAGACGGGCCGCGTATGCGGCATTCGATTGATCTACGATTTTAAAGTGTCACCCGACCCCCTCCCCCGAACGTCCGCGAAATTTTATTTTTTAGTATTTACTATTTAGTAATCCCACGCCGCTGACCGGGATCGCACGTTTATTATTTCTGCATTACTACGTCTACGTATTTTTGTGTGAAAGATGCCGCGTTATCAGTTCAGTGCGCAGGAGTATGTGAATATGGTGCTCATTTATGCTGAGTGTGACTATGATGGTGCACGTGCTCTGAGGATGTATGCTGAGAGGTACCCTAATGCACACCAACCGCGGAATTCTCGTGTAATTGTGAGTGCCCTGGTGCGTATGCGTAATAATGAGCCGGTAGTGCCGCGTCGTTCAGGTGGCCCGCGACCCGTGATTTCAGTGCGACAGGAAGAGAACGTGCTAAGCCATTTTGAGGAGGAGCCCGGTTCAAGCACCAGAAGAGCCGGCCGCCTGTTCAATATGAGTCACGTCGTAGTGTTTAAAATATTAAAGAAAAACAAGCAGCATCCGTACTCACTTCAAAAAGTGCACGAAAATAACCGTCGGCGATTGCAACTGTGTAGACAGAGGAGGTCAGCATATCGAGCAGTTCAAAATCTAGGTAAGTTTTAACATTATTTAAATGTATCATAATACCTTAAACATTTCGAGAACAAATAAAAAAAAAATAACACTAAACGAGTGTGCCACAAAATTAATAAGTTCAGAACTCTTTCCTAAAACTGCTTAATACCTCTATGTGAACTGTAAATAAATTGTGTAATACCA